ATGGTGAAAATTCGGGATGAATTTTGTAGGTGCGTCCTCGAGGCTGCCGTGATATTACTACTATGGTCGATGTTCGTTTAAAACAAGCTCCTTCCCCTAAAAAGGCCTACGTGTGATGTGGTATGCGTGGATTTTTTTAAAATAACCACTGCATACCAAAAGAAAGTGCGTCGACAAGCTGCTTGATTTCCAACACTTTAATTCAGTGTTACTACATGTTCTCATCAAAAGTGTGCACGAAAAGAAAAAAAAATCATTCGGTATAGGCAGGTTTTCACCAGGTATGGTTGTTTTTCAACCGTGTTACGGTATAAGTAAGAGTATTTATATATTACATATTTTTTGAAGCGGTGACGTCAATGAAATCCCTACATCTTCGAAATTAGCAGACACGAAACGTTCAATAAATTCATTTCGGTGTCTTTTCTGTAACTTCTGTTGAAAATTCTTAGAGCACACATTATACTAGCTTACCGTCCTTGTTCCTTGTTCTGGACACCATATGTACATATTCCTGACAAAACGACAGTGAATGGATCTCAATAAGGCGGTCCATGTGAAAGCACATCACCATAATGAACGTTCTAAATCATGAACTTATGACTTTTTACACTACGGGAGGAAAATAAAAAGGGTCGGAGAATTCGACGCGAAGGAGACAGTTTTACATTTTTGGTCGCTAAATTATAGCGGCTCAATATAGTTACACTTAAAGGCAACGAAGCTCGTTACAGTAGCCGAGACAGTTAAGTGCCTCGCATTTACGACTTGCTTTCGCTAATGGACAAATGCCGTTGAAAAGGGACGAAAAATAGAGGGAAGAGAGGCTAATCGGCTTGGTGGCCCTCGTGCATTTTCCGGAAGATTAAAAGCGACCCGCGATCTCGTTACGACTTTTCTATTTACGCGCCCCCGCTAACGGCTGCCGCGACAAACACGGCGCGGCACTCTTTGTGAAAAGGAAAGGAAAGGGCGAGTAAAGGGGAAAAAAAAGAAGCCATAAAAAGACAGCAGGGTTCCCCTGAAGAGGAGACGAAAGGCCAGTTCATCACAAAGGAGGCCGCACAGCAGAAGGATACTGGAGTGTCTGGCAACGGACAACACCGATAGTTCAAGGGACCCGACATTGGCCCGGGGACCGCAGTGTCGGCGAAACTTTGTGCTACTCGTTTTGACGACACTTCTTCCCAAACCATCACCTAGTCTTTCCCGCTCATCCTCTTCTCCTTTGCTCGATACCCAAGCTCCCCCTGGCTCGTTTGCGAATGAAAGACCGGCACTGTCCTCCTAACCTAACCCCAGAAGCGACGACGATGATGAGCCGTTCTTTATCTCTTTTCTCCACTTCCATAAACTGGGAAGAACCGAACGTGGGAAACAGCCGGCGGCACACCCGTTTGGAAACAGAAGCCGCCTCCTGCGCTGTTAAGTTGGCTCCGCGCCTACAACACTATGGTTTCTTTACGTTTACATTCGTGATTCAAGCCCAACTTCGCTGTTCGGGAAAGCGAGAAATAACAGTCTCCCAGCGCCCGAAGCAACACCCAGGTCTAATCAGAGGCAATGTAAAGGAACGTCCTGTCCTGTTGCTCCGTATACTGCAGTCAGCACTGCCTCCGGCCTTATTGGGTGTTGTTAGGCCGCTCCATTCTTTATGCTTTCTTTCTGTGCCTTGCGCGTTGGTTCCTTCAAGGATCCCTCTTCTTTGGGGCCATTTCGACTCGCTAATCTCTCTCCCTTCTTCGTTTCCACTTGGCCTTCGTGAAAGAAGCCATGGATTCCGCCGTGTTCTACGCACACGTGGTGTGTGTGCCCCGTGATTTTTCTCACCGTGGCTGCTCCGCCCACCAGAGCAGGCTGGCGAAATTTACGGCGGGCGCATGCCGACTTCGCAGTCGGTTCCCTTCTGCTGCTGTAACATTAGCCATCACGCCTGCTGCTGCTGCGTGGCTGCTGCCGCCGCCTTTCGGGACAGCACCACCGCCCCCGGAGTCACCGGCACGTTTTCTCTAGTTTGCACCCGAGGCACGCGGCGAGGGAGGCTGCCGGCGCCACACTTGGCCCGTGAGAGCTGCCCTGGTGCGGCGCGTGCGAACGGTGATGACGGACTCGGAGGGCAAGGTCAAAGGATCACGGCGCGGCGGCTCCCGCTATTAGTGCGCGAGGACCTCCTCGGCCCCAGACACCGTGGGCGGAGTCCCGACGAAGCGGCTCGCTTTCTTTTCGGGCAGCTCGAACGCGTGACACGGCTCGGTTCGTGACGCGCGAGCGCGTGCTGGCATGGCGACAGGGGTTGAACTAGCTTGCCTTCTCTCTGCAGAGCTCAGTAGCCAGCAGGGCTCAGGAGCATCCTTCGAGAGCGGCCCGCGAAGTTTGAAGCATGCCAAACGTTATCGCTGTGCGTTCCTCCTCCTCCGGAATAAGGCTTCTTTTCTTTCCTTTCCGAGAACCCGTACGCTCCCGCCGGCACCACGCTCGAGGAGATCCCGTTTTGCGGCACTCTGCAGAGGTGGACAGTAATGAGCCCCGATGGACGCCCGCTGAACATCTGAAGACCGTGCCGCCAAAGTATCGGTGGCTCTTTCGTGTTTTGACCTGCACATTTCTGTTTGAGAGTTGTGGCTTTGAAAAGTGTTTCGCCGGTGTATCGTCCGTATAGGACACGTTTTGGCGCCAATTGTGTTAAGCTATACTCACACGATGGACGTGATCGCTGACGAATGAGTCACGTGACGTGAGTCGTGATTCGGGTCTCTCCGCAGCCAGCATTCACGCGACAGCGGGGAGAATTCAGGCTGATAAAGATGATTTCGGCATTGCTAGCGGAAGATTCCTGCCATGACTTGGGCCTCCGTCATTTCACGAAATTATTCGCGCGGACCCAAGTCAGATTGCGGGAACGGCAGACGTACGTTCGAAGAAGCCTGTAGCAAAAGACGGTGCCCTAAAACCTTTCTCTCCCCCCCCCCCCCCTCCACGAAGTACTGGAAGTTGGGGAGGGGGAGTTTTACTAAGAATAAATAACAAAAATGTGTTTTTCAAGACCTTCGAAAAGTGCACCCCTTCCCTCCTCCTCCCCCCCCCCCCCTCCAAGAAATATTCCTAGTAACAGGTCTGACGGTGACGTAGTACACAATCTGAGGGCTCGAATAGCGCTTGGGGCCCTCGCATGAATACTGCTTTATGGAGCGGCTGTTTCAGTCTTTGTCCTCCATAGCGAGCGAAGAAGACCCTCGAAGAGTCAGATGCGCTTTCATCCAGCGGGTCTGTGTGAGTACGTTGTCATATTGGTGGCGATAGCATTGGCTTTGTCGCTGGTTGACGTATCGGGTGGGTAAAAGCTCACTCTATAGCCCACATGTTTTCAAGGGTAGCTCGAAAACTCACACAGAATGAAGGCAGACGACTAAACAAGACAGCCTTTCCAGACTGTCTTGTCTATCGTCTTTGCTTCACTTGCTTGTCTTGCCCAGGCTATCTTGTCTATCGCACGAAGCTTGTGTGGGTTCTTGCGATATACATCAAAACATGCATCGGCCCGAAGTTCCACAGTTTCACATCTCTCTACAAGAGTGTAAGAGAATTGTTCTACACCACACCACGTGGATGAGCCACTCAACTGTATACGCTTAAAAGCAACAATTCCAGGGCACTGCTTCTGAACGACGTAGCTGGCAACGATTCTGAATGTTCTGCAATGCACGTTGTCTCAGAGAAAATGGCAAGTACGCGAATATGATTGATGGTCGTTACTCGGTTCACCTACGCATAATAATAATTGCTTTATTGCTGTATTTGTCTTCAATTACAGTGCTCGGCTGCTGACGCGAAGGTTGCGGGGTTGATCCTGGCCGCGGCAATCGCATCGCGGTTGAGACGAAATGAAATAGGCCCACGTAATGTGCGACGTCATTGCATGGTAAAGAACACCCGATGTAATATTCCGGTGGTAATATGTGGTGGTTCTTGGGCCCTCAGACGCAGAAACCCAAGACAAGGACAAAAGAAACATCTATTGACTTCACACACAAAACAATCACAACACTGTGGCTATCTGTACAACACACTGGCTCCGTAATTCAGTCATACAGTCCTTATGTCTAGGCGCCCGCGAGTAACCCACGCGTCCTCACTACTCGAAAGTCTAATTCCGTCGGTGCCACTCACGCTCCCGCTGAAGACGATGGCGTCGACGACGCAACCTCGCCACGGGGAGGTTGCCAAGTGCACGGAAGCTCACGAGCAGACCATCAGCTGCTCGTGCTGGACCAGGCGGCCTCACGCTGTGGCCGACGCAACACCGAGGTCGCACCTTCAATTGGCGGTTGTGCCGGACCGGCTCCGACGTGGCACCGTGGCCACGATCTCGGTGACTGGTTGTGCCGGAACCCGAGTCTGGACAGGATCAGCCGCTTGCCTGGCCCGCACGCTCGTCGCCACAGGAACAGCATGTCAGGCCCGGCCCGGAACCGCCACTCGCCTCAGGAACATGCCACGCTCGTCCCGGTTGGGTTGGTGACACCCGCTCGTTGGTTCGGTCCCCTGAGGCCCAACGCCTAGCGCTCTTGCTAGCTGGCCCGCGTTCTTCCTCTGGCCGTCGCTGTTCCGAAACTCACGCGCTCACGTTCGTCTGACCCCGTGCACCTTTCGTCTTCGTCGGTTATTTTCCGCTGTCGGTTTCACTTCAGTTTCGATTTGAAGCACTCTTACCACACTCCCCCAACTCTAGTACGTTGTACACACGTAACACACAGTTCCCGAATATAACAAAGGTCCGCACACTTTAAATGTCACAGTTTAGATGTAAAAAAAAAACCAATTGCCACTATGATGACAACATGATAAAAAAATTGGTACAACGGCAATAAGTCACTGCTCGGTAAAAAGCCGCTCGACTCATGTAGTCGGCAACCACGTGTGTCACACACGAATGTGTTCCACGTGAAAGTCATATTCCTAAGAAGGAGACTCCACCGCTGCTCGCCTCGTTCTCGCGTCCATTACGGCCCGGCCTTCTTGGATGGTGACTTGGTTCTGCGTCGGCGGGGACCTGGGTGCGGTACATCGGAGGAGGTCGTTGCCACGAAGGGCACTCCCCCTGTCCTGGGAGTCCTCCTGGCTCCTGTTGCCACTTCCGCCGCTACCTCCCCGTACTCCTTCTTCGAGATTTTTTTCCCGGAGCTGTTCCGTCCTGCCATTTCCAGGTTGCTCTGAAAACGGCACGTCCGTCTACGAAAGTAGCAGCCACGGAACGCCGTGGAGGGCGCGGGGTGGGGTTCGTTGAAAACCTCTTCTTCGGCGTACGCTGACCGTGGCTCATCGATAATGAAACGCTGCGGTGGCGGCGGTGGCGGTGGTGGGGCTCGCGGAGGTGCTCGTGGCACTCCTCTGAAACGCTGGTTGTATCGCCAAGGGTAGGGCCTCCCCACGCCGTCCATGATCCACCGTCTAGGAGCCGGGTCGCTCTGGTCCTGGTGCGGTGGCAGTGATCGCGATGAGTCTCGGTTTCCTGCTTCCTCCCTTCGATCTTCCCCTCGGCCACGCCTTGACGCCGGCCCGCGCCTTCGTGGATTGCGACGTGGAATCCAGCGGGGTCGGAACGGGCGCCTGTGGGCCGCGTACGGGCTACCCTGAACAGGCTCACCATCGGGTCCGGTCACATTGGCTGCCTCGCAGCCCTTATCGCCGACCACGACGTCAAACTCGACGGTCTCACCTTCGCCAACGCTGCGCAGCAGCTTCTGTGGGTTGTTGCGCGTGATGGCCGTCTGGGACGAAGATGTCCTCGTGAGTGTCGTTGCGGTTGATGAAGCCATAGCCGTTCTTGACATTAAACCACGTGGTTGCGCAGCCATTTCTTTACTGAGGCAATGACCATATTATGAATTCATGAATGAACAATCCCTGGAATGCTACAAACTTGTATCTTGGCTACAGGTTCAAAGTTCACACCAGCAATTCATATAAATGTTCATTTGGCCACTTTGTATGCAGGCCTGTCGCGCTAATTATCGATCAAAAAACAGGCGGAACACAGTGCCATATCTTTCAAGTAAGCGTACAGATGTATTAAGTGAGTCCCCATGCTTTTGCCTTAGGCGCTAACGTTTCTTTTTTGTTATTCTGTTCTGTCAGCCGGCGCTTCCTTCTGACTCGTGGCATTTAGTGTACGCGGTGAAAACACCTCATCAGGGACTACGCAAGGCTGAAGCAGCTTGCGTAGCCCTTTGTAACACGCCCTAAACCATTGTCAATATCTAAGACCACAATGGTATTGTGTAGAACGTCCACGAGCTTTCCGTAAGATTTAATTTAAGGTGCAAATACAGGCTTCTTGCAACTATGAGGACTTGATGACGGCTCAATTTTTATAGCTATTCGCAGCCAGCCGCGATAAGATATCGACAGCATGGGGAGGAGCAGCCGGGCAGGGACATCGCCCAAGGGGGCAAAAGGTCGTTGCTGTGTGGAGGTGTGACTGGTGGGAAAGGATGATATGCACTTGAGCTGTAGACCAGCAACAGTACGAACAGTGTCACAGCCGTGCAAAGCACGCGTTTTCGTGTTATCGTGCTTTGCGCGAGCGATGCAGGACATCACGCGTGTACACGAGCTGTAACCACGCAACCCGAGTTCGTTATCTGTGGAACAGATAAACAAACGTCTCTCCACTTCTGCGCACGTCGGCATGCCTAATACTGCACGGAAATTTCGGGAGTTGATGGTTATTTGCTGATAGTGTAATCGCATGTCATTCTGGACACGTGCTCAAAAGTTTCACTGTTGGACCATTTTCGTTTGGCGTGACGCATTCAGGGGGCAAAAATACTGCTGATCGTTACTGTTTTTTATTTTATCTTTGTATATCTGTACCCCGCGATGTTTAAAAACCAAAATTCAGCTACAAATCAGTTCGTGTGCATTGTGTTTTATATTAAAGGTATAACAATGAATACACAGAGAACCGAAGAAAACAAATAATAGGAGTTAGGACAATGCGCTTAGGGTTTTGGTTGTAGCGGGAACTTGTCGGTAGTAGCGTAAAACGTGATCGAATGCAAATGCGAAATATAAAGACTCACCGAGGTTTAAGAAATGATACCTTCAGCTGTCGTAGTACCTTCAGTGTCACACAGCTGCACACGTACAAAGAAAAAAAGGAGAAGGAAAAACTGGTGAACTCCCAAACCAACACCTCAAGCTACCTTGTTATGAAGTGCAGCCAAGACGCGCTCCGCAGGTTTCACCAGAAAGGTGGCGTGAAAAAGGAAGCAACGCACACGATTTAGCCGTTTGCTCTTGTAGTTATTAAACGCCTCTGTAATGGAAGATTGTGTCACAAGTGCCTACATACGTTTTTTCATGTTAATGCGAAATAATGCACTGCAGTGTGTGTTACTATTAATTACATGCCATATTCCCATTCATTCAATAAGAACATTAAACAAACGCGATTACCCGAAGGATTGACGACATAAACTGCAACTTGATGTATGGTGTCCTGCCTGGCAACACATTTTTAGTTTTTCGTATTTACATGGTATGATATCTTAATACTCGTTCAAGAAACATTGCGTCTGCTTTGTTCGAGCTCACCACGTTCCATTTTTTACGTGAAATATTCAACATGCGAGCTGCAGGTGCATGACTATACTTCACCATAAACGCTATAGATCGTCTTAGTGTCTCTGCCAGGCATTTACGCAGAGCCAAGGAGAAGGAGGACATCCTGTGAGTGATCGCCAGCGGACGAAATACGAGAAAAAGCGTCGAAGCGAAACTCTGCAAAGTTTGCACGAACTAAGCTATTCGTGCTTTACCTCGTGTATGGCTGCTTCTCACAAACCTATCGAGCCTGCACGTCTTGAAATCCTACTACAAGTAGCCTCTTGCCAAGCTTGAAATGAAATATTTCGGAGCGTGTGATCGCCCCGCCGTCATGGTGAAGTTTTCGCTATGTTCCTGACTCCTTTAAATATGTTCCCGCTTAGCTACTATGAGAAGATTTGATTAGAAGCTGGCGGCTGCATTTGAAAGTGTTTGCGTTCGGCTAGAGTATCGACAAGTTGAGTTAATTATTTTGCTTTTTGCGTATATGCTTAGTAAGAGTTTGCGTATGACCGGTTTATATACTTTCCCTTTAGTTTGCAGCTGGGAAATGCCAAATAAGCAGTCTCAATGACCTACGGAAAGAGAGACGTGGAGCAAGTCGCTATAGCAGAGGCGGCCGTCGGACCCGCATCCTCCCGTCTGCACGCTCACCGAGAAGCGATCGCCCGCCCTCCAGAGCTAGCGCGCGCACGACCACTTTGGGCCGCCATCTCCCTCTCCCCCATTAGGATCCTCATCATGGAACGTGAAAGATGGAGAGATGAGATAAGGTTCATCCGTGGAAGCACTCGTCGTCGCCGCATGCCACGCGCCTTCGGCAGCGCAGCTCGAATATGGCATCCTTCGGTCGTACACGTGTTGCCCGCAAGGCAGCCACTACTTGTAGAAGGCGCGCGCGTTGGTACCTGCGTGGGTATGCACGAGCTAGCGGCGTAATAGGTGCAGGAAGGAATTACGTGTAGGCATTACTGGGAGGAAGAGACGACCGTGGTACCCTTGCGCATCTGGAGGAGGAATCTCTCGCGCTATGGGATAAGGGCGGAGTGTTGATGGCTGCCGACGTGCAAGTGCCCAGATATACCGTGTTTGTACCGTTACTGCCGACTTCTCGGCCAGCGACGAGGGAAGCTGTTAGCAGAGGAACTCCTTGTAGAGCGCAAGTTGTTTTTGGGTGTTCGTATGTATAACTTGCCGCACTTTTTATTGTGGAGAGCGTTCGCAGGGCGAATATATGC